TGAATTGAGGCAAACCTTAATATTAATATTAAGGGTTCAAATAGGCGCCAACATTTTTGTTTTTTAATGTACTATTAAGTTTTAAACACCATTGAAAAAAAAATTGTTAATTTTTTTTAAACACCCTAATATATATATATATATATATATATATATATATATATATATATATATATATATATATATATATATATATATATATATATATATATATATATATATATATATATATATATATATATATATATATATATATATATATATATATATATATATATATATATATATATATATATATATATACAGGGTGTTTCATAATATATGCGCAGGACTTCAGGATGTGATAGCTCATCCAAAAAGATGAAAAAAATCGCTATTAACTTACGCTATAAAATGCACAATTTTCGAGATACAGGGTGTTGAAATTTTAGAAAAAAAATCGTTTTTTTCGAATATCTCCGGAACCGTTTATCGTACAAAAAACAGCTTTTGTAAGCATTTTCTACTCAAAATAAGCTATGTTTTGTGCAAGAAAAATTTTTTTTTTCCTCATAATTGGTGGAGATTTTGAAGGGGTAGCGGGTGTTTTTCTCCTTAACTTCTACGCCCCTGAACAAATAACGGTTTTGAGAGGCCCATTCGAACCGCCAATGTTTTATACACAAAAAAGGTACTCTTGGTCATAAGCTCTGAACTTGACCGTTTTCGAGAAAAATCAACTTTTATGTTTAAAAACATGGTCAATTAAAAAAATAATAATTTTTTTTCACTAATTAAACAAAATTTATTTTAACATTAGAACAAGTAACAAAACCAAACCATAATTGCAAAATAAAAAATGATTCAAAAGTTGTCTTTGCTAAATTCTCCAAACCGTAAAGGTAACGCATTTCGCACATTTCAGCATTTGTGTAAAAAATCATTTTTTATTATTTTTTTTAATTTTGCAATTATCGTTTGGTTTTGTTACTTTTTCTAACGTTAAAAGAAATTTTGTTTAATTAGTAATAAAATTTTTTTTTCAAAAAATTGACCATGTTTTTAAACATAAAAGTTGATTTTTCTCGAAAACGGCCAACTTTAGAGCTTATGACCAGGAGTACCTTTTTTGTGTAGAAAACATTGGCGGTTCGAATGGGCCTCTCGAAACCGTACTTTTTTCAGGGGCGTAGAAGTTGAGGAGAAAAACACCCGCTACCCCTTCAAAATCTCCACCAATTATAAGGAAAACAAAATTTTTTCTGGCACAAAACATAGCTTATTATGAGTAGAAAATGCTTACAAAAGCTGTTTTTTGTACGATAAACGGTTCCAGAGATAATCGAAAAAAACGATTTTTTTTCTAAAATTTCAACACCCTGTATCTCGAAAATTGTGCATTTTAGAGGGTAAGTTAATAGCGACTTTTTTCATCTTTTTGGTGGAGCTATCACATCCTGAAGTCCTGCGCATATATTATGAAACACCCTGTATATATATATATATATATATATATATATATATATATATATAAATATATATATATATTAGGGTGTCCCTTATTTTTATTTTTTTTACGCATACCCTCTAATTATATTTATTACGTGTTTATATACTCCCCTAAAATTTTTTTAATGGAGCTGATCTTTTGACAGGGCTCTTAAAACATTACAAACCAACATATTTTCACAAGAGACGAGAGAAAAAAAATATTCTTTTTTACGCATACCCTCTAATTATATTTATTACTTGTTTATATACTCCCAGTAAAAATTTCAGCTCATTCTATAAACGGGAACCCGTGCCGACTTGCATCTGAACCCTCCGTTAGCCAACGTTAGTCGCGTGGTATTTTGTAACACGGTTGGTCGCGAGGTCTACGATCGTAAGTCATTTTGTGTTTGTTATTATGTAACCCTTATATTATAAATTATTGACAAATGTTAAAATATAGTTTTATTTATGTGTATACTTTGATAAAAATGTATATTTTCACAGGGAGTGGCTAGTTACCCGGAAGGGTCTGGTGAATAGGCCGTAAACTCTAAAATTGATAAACTTAATGGGTTTTACTCTAAATAAATAAAAGAGTCTATTGTGAGAGATAACTACCGAAAACTTATTGAACTGTCTGAAATATTTTTGGGTGGACACCAAAAAAAGAAATGCTTATAAAAAGCTGAAATTTCATATAACAGTATATTTTAGCAATATCTACTAATTATATTAATATATTTAAGGGATAAAATCAACTAAATTAGTAAAACAAATGATAGAAACAAAAGCAATAATATTAATTAGTAATCATATTTAATAAAATCATTACAAAAATTCAGTCATGAAGTATATCTTCTTTTTAAAGTGTTTCGTGTTACAAAATACCGCGCGCCTAACGTTGGCTAACGGAGGGTTCAGATGCAAGTTGGCACGGGTTCCCGTTTATAGAATGAGCTGAAATTTTTACTGGGAGTATATAAACAAGTAATAAATATAATTAGAGGGTATGCGTAAAAAAGAATATTTTTTTTCTCTCGTCTCTTGTGAAAATATGTTGGTTTGTAATGTTTTAAGAGCCCTGTCAAAAGATCAGCTCCATTAAAAAAATTTTAGGGGTCGCTCAAGATTTTTAAAAATTTCCAAAATCGTCAAAAATTGGAGTTTTTTTATTTAAATTTTTTTCTCGTTCCGATATTATTTTTTAATTTAAAAATAATAATGATTCTGAAAATTTCAAATCGATATTTTGATTTCTAAAGGTCGCTCAAGATTTTTTTAACCTTTAAAGTAGAGTATTTTGAATGTTTTCCAGCGACCTCTGAATATAAATATTAACGAACTTTTAGCGACCTTTAGAAATCAAAATATTGATTTGAAATTTACAGAATTTTTATTATTTTCAACCAAAAAAATAATATCGAGACGAGAACAAAAATTAAAATAAAAAAAAAATTCAATTTTTGACGATTTTAAAAATTTTAAAAAATCTTGAGCGACACCTAAAATCGAGCTGATATTACAGCATGATAAACTGACATATTTTTACAAGAGACGAGTAAAAAAAAAATATTCTTTTTTTTTGGGGCCACCCTAATATATATTATAGGAGATCATCTAATGCATAGTGGACCCAACTTCAGTGACTGGGCGACTGTTAGACTCTCTAATAGTAAGAGCGAATTATTTCCCCACTATGGTGCGTCAGCTGTATACACCCATAATGAAAATACAGTATGCATTTTATTGTTTTAATTTTGTAACATACATGTTGGGAAAAGTAAGCGGTGTATTCCTTTATGAAAAATAATAGTATTTTTATATAAATTAATTTTCTACTAGCCGCAGGCGGCCTTAGGGGATATCAAAAGACCGCCCCCTCCGTTCGCAGTAACAACTATACAGCAGGCCGCATCGAGATTTCAGTCAGTTTTACAAAATGTTTAGGAGAAATGGATTTTTGTTTCCAAGTTACAGGGTGTTAGAAATCCTAATTCTAATCCTAATCCTAACTTTCCATCACTAAAAGATAAGGAAACGAAATTTTAGCTATTGTTTTATTTGGTAATGCCTTTTTAATGAACATGAAACGAAAAGGATCTAGGACTTTTCATATTATTTTTATACATCCATTATGTTACACCTTATATTATTTAGAGCCAAAGTATACTGGCAGAACTTAAATAATTAAGAAATATGTTTTAAAAACATATGTAGGTATTTTACAAAATACTTACATTTTTTGAACTTCCGGTTTCGCCGGAAATGATACCAACATTCGATTTTTAAATTGAATGTCCTATATATTTTTACATATTTGGAATCCTGAGAAAATTCTGAGTCAGACAGCATCCTCAGCTTGACCTTTTGACGTTTCGTTATCAGAAAATGTATCATCATAAAGATCAATCTAGAGTGCTTTAAACTATCTTATTTTCTTCTAATGGATTCACACAATGCCTGAAAAATGGAACTTGCGTTAAAAAGTTGTTATTCAGCTATTCCCAGCAGTCTAAACTTCTAAAATTCGTTTTTCTCAAATAGTTCAAAGCACTCTAGATTGATCTTTATGATGATGCATTTTCTGATGAAGAAACGTCGAAAGGTCAATTTGAGGATGCTGTCCGACTCAGAATTTTCTCAGGATTCTAAATATGTTAAAATATATAGGGCGTTTCATTTAAAAATCGAAAGTTGATATCATTTCCGGCGAAACCGGAAGTTAAAAAAATTCATTTTGTACTCGTATAAGTGCCATTTTATATTCTAATTAACCATGCTAAATTTCATGTGTCTATCTTTATAAATAAAAAAGTTACAGTGGTGCGCCAATTCTCAGATACACCCGGTATATAAAAAGTGGTACTAAAATATAGTCATATATATAGCAATTAATTGGACAACGTTGACTGAATTCAGGTTCCTTTGTATTGTGTTTACAACACCAATTGCTTTAAAGCAAAGGTATGCAATTTTAAATACCAGATAAATTATAAAACATATAACATTTAAGCATAGGTGTACCGGATCCGTTTATTCTTGAAGTGCCAATATATTATTAGCGTATCGCGTATTCTTATGTGTCTATACATTTTACAGTGATTCGAATTGCAAATAGGTAGACAGAAGTCATTTTTATTTTTTATCAAATCCATAAATTATATAATAATTATTATAGTGGTGGTAAATAGTTTCAATTTTTGAATAAAAATTTTGAAAAATTAAAATATATAATTTAAAACCATTGACATTTTTTGCATCTTTGTGTTTTTTTTACTTAAAATCAAGTAGATTTTGCAGCAATGCAAAAACTTACAAATTTTTACTTTTAATTTAGTTAATATTAAAAATTAAATTATAAAATCTTTCGGGTAATTTCCATCAAAATCTTTTAAGTTGGAAAGCAGGAAGTAGCATGAAACCTACCAAACACTACAGCTTTCAGTTATAATTTTGGCTAAGGAATGTTTTAAACTCTAATCCACCTAAAATTGCAATCTAGACCACTTTGCGTTTATTTAACTTACCATGGTAGGTATTAGTGCTCGAAGGATTTCTAGGATTATACACAGTGACTTCCACGCCCCTGTGGTTATATTCCACTTTTCGCACAGCCGCGTTCAATTTTATGTCCAGTCCTTCGGCCAGTGCCACGGGAACGCAGGAATACCCATTTCGAACTGAAACAAAAAATAAATTATAAGTTTTAATAGTTAATTGAAATTCCAATGGAAATCATTAAGGTGTTGATGATTTTAATATTGGTACTATTAAGAAATTACCCGGGATAATAAAACAGTTAAAATTGTATAATATCTTGGTGCTTTTAATTTCTTCGTCGATATTAGGTAAATAAATTCTTAGATTTTAAAGATAAAACACATGTATTTGTTTAAGTACCTCATTAAAAAAACAAGTTTTCACACTTCATCGATTTTATCGCGTCAATATAAAATTTATTTAAATCCTATCATAGAAATATGTCTATGCTTAATAATTTAAAAATTAATCATGTTTGCATAGAAATAAATATTATTATTATTATTATACATGGTGCAGCAAGTATCTTTCAATGTATGGGTATGTTGTTTTTATTTTTATTTATTTCTTATTATTATAATATGCTTCCAACAGGCACCTGACCTAACACAAATAAACAGTCAAACAAGGGCGTCGATAAGGAAGGGGGTAATGGGGGTAATTACCCCCCCGCAAGATAGAAGTCCTAAGAAAAAAATTAGTACAAATATAATTTATGAATGCAAATCGCCCTCTATGAATAGTTTTTAAAGTGTGGCATAATAAAAGAAAAATAAAGATTTGGCTTCGGGCTTCTACAGGTGAAGAAAGATTAGTAGGATTAGCATTGTTTCATGTACATAGGGATATCAAAATAAATATTGATAAGGTTTTGGATCGTTTTGCAAAACAAGACATTATAATTTGAATTTTATATTTAATAAGATGACCTAGGTACTTAAAAAAGAATATATATAAACATATATATGTTTATGTTTATGAGATATTTAGTTTTTGTACCTTATTATCCTTTTCCACAATATACAAAAGCAAATAAACAATAAGTAGTTTTGCAATAGTTATTTGTTGTACAAGTGTTGAAAAGCGAATTTTTCATGCGAGTGTTTAAGTTGCTCACGAGGCCGTCAGGCCGAGTGTGCATTAACACGTGCTTGAAGAAAGCTTTTCTCACAAGTGAAACACAATGATTTTTCTACGACCCTTTTATTTTTTATTATATTTAAATACAAAACAAAATAACCTAAAAACTTGTTTGACAGCTGTTAAAATTACTTTCATCTTTCATCTAATTTTTAAATTACTTAAATACAATAAACTTACCTTCTCAATTTAAATAAAGGCATGCACTAAAATTGGAATTTATTATACAAACACAAATAATTGTGTTCTAAATGATATTTAGACATACATATATAAATACAATACAATTTTGAAAGGAATGTCAAACGATTCTGTCAATTTCTTTTCACACAGAAATGTCACTTTACATTCGTTTTTTGCCTCGACAATGAAAAGATTCATTTTCTAAGCAACGATGCCATTACGAAATGTGACTTTTACATAGTGGTAGTAGAAAAAATTATTTTCTTTTTATGTTACCCCCCCCCCCAAAAGAAAAAAAAATATCGACGCCCTTGCAGCCATACCCATGTATTCTCCAAATTAAAAAATCAAAATTAGTATATTTAAAAATAACTGAAAGTACATTCTATACATAAAGAAAACCATATAGTATATAAGACAGCAATGTGGTGATGGGGTTTGGGTGTAAAGAGGCGCGTAGTTGTGAGGTAACACCTCTAAAGCCTTCCCACATTGGTGTATTTGTCCGCAAGCTGATGTTACGAACAAACCCTAAAATTGTACAATGTTGAAATTGTATACAAAATTTTCGAGTGGAGGTTTGAATATTAATTTATCTATTTATCTATCTATCTAGAGGAAGCACAACCATTGATAGATTTATAAGATCGTGAATTTAACTTAAAAATGAAACACGATCGTAATATATCCATCACGAATTCTGGGAGCTAAATAGATAGCGCGACGGTCGCAACCGGAGATATTTACCAGTCGAAACGTCATGATTAAAAATACTAAGGCAATGAAAGTCCAAAACCTTTATTTTATTTAGATTACCATAAAAAGGTTAATTTCATACTCTGGATTGTGACTGACAAAAGTAGAGGATAATAATACGTTCCAATTAAATATTCAATGGGTATTGAAAATGATTTAAACAATTATATTTATGGCCCGCCCTATATGCACTGAGAGAAAAAATGTTGTAGAATATTTCAAAACGATATTAATTCAAAGGGATTCAAATATGTTTTGGCGTCATTAGTTTGTCCCATTAAATTAATAGGTGTGTGAAAAAATTTTTCTATTTGAATCAAATTTACCCGAATATTTAAATTAATATAATTTCATATGCTTTTCATGACATGATATTTCTCTGAGTGTAAAAATTTCTGTACAATGTATACAGTTTCAGGGTTTGTTGTAACATAAATGTATATATATATATATATATACATATATCATAAACCAACTTAAAATTAGTTTGGACATATTTTCGAAAAAACCTAATTCTTTACTCATTTTTGTATAATTTTTAAATAATCAAAATATCATTGTTTGTGTATATATTATATATATACATTTATGTTACAACAAACCCCGAAACAAACCATAATGGTAGTCAACTTAACAGTTTAGTTTTAGTTTTAAAGCTTTATTACTATCTAAAATGTTTTAAAATACAGTCTAACCTCTATAACTATAATCTCCACAACTCAAAGTTTTTTGTAAGTAGAAGTATACTTTTCTCTCTGCACATTTTATATATTTGGAATTTATTTTGACTCAAAAATCTCCAAACATTATCAGCAATCAGTCTCTATAAATCGAAAATTCAGGCACAAGGTGAACAGCGCCTTATTGCTTGACAGGGTTAAATTTAAGAAAAACCCTTCAGATGATTATTGTAAAAGCTTTAGTTGTTTTAAAGTTTTTTCACAAATGCAGTACACGTGTGAAGAAGACTTTTTACTGGGGTTCGTGTTTTAGAGGTAACATTGATTTGTTTTTAAAAATTCATTCAAGAAAGTTGGAAAAACCTAATTGCTTCACAATACTCTCTGCCATACTATAGTATATGTTATAACTAAAGATGTTAGGGTACTAAAAACTGAAAAATAGGTAACTAAAAAGGTACTAAAAAAGCATTTTAGGTTAAAAAAACAGCATTTTAGGTAAAAAAAACATTAAAAGTTCAAGTTTCGTTTATTTTTATAAAATAAGTATCATAATAGTACCTATATTATTTATCAAGTTTGATAAACGCCATTTAATGTGTGTATAGAAAAGTTTATAAACTAGGTGCATACTATACTTTTTCTACGACAAATACTTATTATTATCTTAAAATGATTTATTTCAAAAATTTGCATAGAGCGCCATCTATGAAACAACAGGGGAAACTGTCAAATGTCACATTTTTACATTTTATAAACACAATTATAAAGGTTATAAATATAAGGTGAAAGTAAAGGAAATGTTTTATGAGGACTTTACAGTAGAGTCCGTGCCCGAATTTAAGTTATAGTTTACTGCCGGCGAAATTAAAAGGTCAGTACAATGTTCATATAAACTTTTCAAATATTGGCGTTGAGAAACTATTTAATATTTTTGTATTTTTGTATTGAGATAATAAAATAATTTTCACATTTAGTATTATTTTACAAGAAAGGCACTTTATTTTAACGATTGTATGACATTTGACAAATGTCAAATAACTTAAAACTAACTTCAGCCCGTTACTAAAAACCTGTTGCTAACTTCATCCCGTGACTAAAGCGCCGTAAAGCCACAACTTGTCAATGTGTATTTAAAATGTCACTTAGTGACATGAAAACATGTACGCGTTTTAAAGGTGGAAGTAGAAAAATATTTTTTTTATAAACTGACCAATAGTTAATTAAAGCTATAATGAACTGATAATATAACTGGGAATACCTGATATTTACCAAATTTACTACTAGAGTAACAAACAGATAGCTAAAATGTATATAAATTAAAGAAAGATGTTTTAACATAACCTCAACGTCCTTACAATTTTACAGCAAACTCTACAAAATTAGTTTTTTCCGTCAATAGAAAAATCTTATTCGTCCCCTCTATCCAACTGCTGAGTTTATTTAGTAGATTTTCTTTGGTTTTGGGCATTTTTTATAATTTTGTTTATCTCCACGCGGTCTATAATTAAAACTTTATTGTTGTCAACATTCGATAAAGAAATAACTTGTTATGGCCTAGGCCGATAAAAATTTTTATGAGGCAAGTAATTAGTTCGATTTTTTCTCGCTAGGGGTACTGTTTTGACAAATTAATCCTTTTCTAAGAAATTAACGTACTAAACTGGTTTAATTTATTTATAATAAGCACTAATTTGTTTGTTTTACTGTTAATGTTTATTATTTTTCATTAAATTATTGTAAAATTAAATATGAATAATAAAACAAAAAGTGAGGTTAGGACATTGCAATTTGACGTTTCTGTGGATTTCACTGATGTGTTTTCTTTTTCTACGATTTAAATTATCTTTAAGTTTTAATTTGCTTTAAGTTTTCAGTGAAATTAAATGTTAAACACAGCGTAAACATTCCAAACTACCTATTTTTTTAATAAAAATGAAAACAAATTGAAATTAGATACCTATTTATTAAACAATTAATTGAATTCAATGTAAGTAATAGCAAGAGGGTAAGTAAACCATTTTCTTACAAAAATCCATTTCTACATAAATCATGTAGCTAGGTATTGTCAAACTATTACTGCTTCTAAAAGGAATAATAATTATTGTACATTTAATGTACCTAATCTTTAGCTAATAAATAAATGACATTCTAAAAAAGTGAGGTTAGGCCGCTTTCATGTTGAATTAAATTGACCTATATAAAGTGCTTTGAAGATAAAATGTTGTATGCCATTCGGCCAAGAAGTGTCTTTTTGTGCTTCGCTCAATTGTAGGCCTCCGCTACGCGTCGGCCTTCAAACTTTGAGCTTAGCACAAAAAGCCTTACTTCTTAACCTAATGACATAAATAACTATTAGCCGCATACCCAAACACAGAACATAC